TTTGTGGCTAGTGATGCCCCTGAATTAGAGGCAGCAGGCAGGATATATGTATCTTTTAAATACCTTCTAGGTATTTAAATTTTGGAACACTTTCAATAATGTTGAAAGTCTTGGATCAACTTTCTTACGAGATCTGTGAAAATCTGTAGCCGCTGAGAGAAATTAAATTGGTTTCCAGCTGAGGGAACAGCATGCAGAACCTCGTGTGCAGGAATCCAGCTTGCTGGATCCTCGTTGATGGCAGTGGATGGAACTGGTCAGCACACGAGTAAGCTGGCAATTTGTACATAGCACCATCATCTTGTGATATCAGTGACAATTTTCAGTGAAGTACTGTTGAGAACTAGGTTCCTGCAGTGAGTGTGAAGGATGATTTAAAGAGATAAAATGTGTGAACTTGACAATATTCATTCTGCTGGGCACAGACAAGTTGTTTTGAGGTGGAGGATTACTGCAGTTAGTGTACTGTGTACTGTAATTCATAGCTCTTTAGACAATGCACTTTTAATTTGGCAGCACGTTTCTGGTCAGTGATGTATCCCATCTGTCCTGCACTGCAGCTGAAGCGCTACAAAATCAGGTGGCGATAAGGCTGTGCAGATGTTTTTCACGTTGTCCCGCTCAAACAGTGGGCAGAAATACGACATGCGTAAAAGTTGAAACAGATCTATATCTTTTTCAACAGCCTTTGAATATCTTTACACCTTTCAGGGCAGGGGTTGTCACAGGAGATTTCGTTGAACTGGCTTCTATTTTGCAGTTACTAATTATATACCATTATCTGTACACCCACCACTCCTGCCATCACGAGTTGTGCATGTTTGGGAGCCTAGCGACTGGTTTTTGACTCTCCCCTCTTCTCGTGGTTCATGGTTCTCAGGGCTGCCCACTTTCACTAGAATTATGACCTTTCTCTTCCATGCCTTTAAGAAATGAATGCTGCAGAGTGCCTGGCCAGGGACTTAAAAAAAAAAAAAAAAAAAAGGTCAGATATCTAAACTTGCTCAAATTTTGACCTGGCTGTCATCCTGAGAGCTCTTTTCCTGCACCTTCTCACCTTCTGCATTTCTTGTGTTTTTTGGAGCAGATATTTTACTCTCCACCTAGTAATTTTAGGATTCCAGATGGCACATCTGAACTGCCAGGTATGAGGAGGTTCCTGTTACTGAATATACAGGAGGCATATCGTTGCTTTACAGAAGTACACATAACCAAAGCAGACTATTCTCTATCTTTCAATTTTTTGTTTTTCTCTGAGATTTTCTGTGAGAATTCAGTACTCGCTCAGCTTCTCAGGACCTAAGCTTGAGATCATACCCTTTAACAGTACTGCCTGTCATATTTACTAGTTTTGGGAGGTGTGCAAATAAGTTGCACCAGGTGAAAATATTTGGGGATGCCAGGCTAGTTTGAGAGGGAAAAGAAATAATAATAAT